AGATATTTGTCAGATCGGGCTCCAGACATGTATTCTTGGAGTTTAAGAATTTTCAACAAATGGTGTGCTTCTCTTTCTGTGTGTGATTTCATCTGGATAATTTTTAAAAGACATTTTCTGGACACCTTACAACTAAGTCTTATATATCTCAGCGTCTGAATTTGCATTGGTATTTACAATTGTAGGCAACAATACTATCTCAGTTGTCACAGGCCAGTAAGGAGAGGCAGCAGGCAGCTATGGCACACATAGGATGAGCTGGTACCAAATAAAGGCCACATGTCAGCACAGTGTGCTGTGCTTGGGATGTTTCCCTGTGGCTAGAATATAGAAAGTGATGGGAGAGCAGTTATTCCACACGTGGAAAATAAATATACTCAATGAGCAATGACAACAAAAACCATGCCTTGGAATGAAGTGCCACAGTTCTATGTGCTGGAGATTTGCATGGGCACACGATGTATCACATATATTAACAGGATGACTTTGAATTGTATTGATTTTGTTTGTTGACTCGTTCTCATTTAATTTGAATTTTTATTTCTGTTTATCCTTGTATGGCAGTTATCAGTATAAGGAGCTTATAGGTAGTTTAATGTTTGCATATTTAAGTAGCATTACCACAAAACAGAAAAGCTATTTAAAACAACATTAGGTATATTCCTAGAAGTGGGGTCACTGGGTCAAATGGCAGTTCGATTTTTAATTTTTTGAGACAACTCCATACTGCTTTCCACAGTGGCTGCACCAGTCTGCATTCCCATCAGCAGTGCACGAGGGTTCCCTTTTCTCCACATTCTTGCCAGCACTTATTTGTTGATGGTAGGCAATCTGGCAGAGAGCTTTTCAAACTCTCTTTTAAAAAAGAGAGTTCCCAATATTACATTCGAGAAGCAATGAACTAATAAAAATATTTGGAGCTTGTCCCTGCCTTTGACCTTCAGTGACTCAAATTCTAGAGAACAAAGTCAGCCCAGAGTGCTTTCAAGGTATGGGAGGGGGAGAACTTTGGGTGTGCTCTGCTGCCCTCTGCTGACCATGTGGATCATCGGCTAGGCTCATCTGGGCTCCGAGAGTTTGGAAGGATGCATTTACTACTATTTGCCCACAGGTGGTGGGGACAGAAGGAAGGTGGGGTGATTACAGCTCCAAATAACCTTTATTTAGCTGGGCCCCGACTCTTCTCAACCCTTAAGATCTACATTGAATAAATTTCATAAGCAAGTTATTTTTCCTGCGTGTGGCTGAGGCCTGGGTAAGGCATGGTGGAAAGAAGCAAGTGATGAAAGGGAGGCCCCAGAGGTGACACGCCTGTGTCCCCCTAGCGGCCAATAGTGGGGAGGCTCGCAGCGGTTCTCAACCTGTGGGTCGCGACCCCTGAAAATACATCCTGCATATCAGATATTTACATTACAATTCATAACAGTAGCAAAATTAAAGTTATGAAGTAGCAACGAAAATAATTTTATGGTTGGGGGTCACCACAACATGAGGAACTATATTAAAGGGTCGCGGCATTAGGAAGGTTGAGAACCACTGCTTAGGGGTTTGAGACTCAGGGCACTGCCTCAGGCCTCAGTTCTGTACCTGTTACAGGGCCTTGTCCTGAGCTTCCACTCAGAGCTGAGGAGCCTGGCCCTACGCACACGCTGTTCTGTTCCAGGAGGTCCCACCTCCTCCAGGGCACTGGTTTACGAGAGACCTCTGTGATGACCGGACCATCGGGAAACAGTGCTGAACTTGGGACCCAGGCACCCAGTCCGGCCTTCCTCCCCCACCACTTCCCCCTCGCCCAGTTAGCTTTCCTCCCGGCAGCTCCTCTGTCAGCTCTGTCCCAGTCAACCATTCTCAGGGGCCACACTCACTGAAGGCTGGGTTTCCTGGCTCGATGCTGGGATGGCGGGCATTCGACAGCAGACTTTAAGGAATGTGTAAGGAATGGGAAAGCAGACCCCTAAACTGAACACAAGGACTCTGTGGGTCAGTGCTGAAGTGTGGCGGGGACGAGGGGCCAAAGGAGGGCTTACTGGGTTCTTGCATTCAAGAACCAGTTGCTTAGAGTCCTGGAGCAGCGCCAGGGTGTTGCTCAGACATTTACCCTTCTCGTCAACTCCAGCCACATCTTCCCCTACTTTTTTATCTATCCCTTGGTATCCAATGTAGTGCCCAGCACTTGGTAGAAAGTCACCACACTGCTCCTCAGCATTTGCCCAGGCCCTGGCACCCAGGAGGCACCCAGGTTGTGGAATTGATGGCCTGAGATCTTGGAAGATGCTTTTTTGGGCAAAGGCAGCAGGAAGGACAGCAAAAGGTCCTCTTCTCTTTCCAGGAGGCTAATGGCCCAGCCTTGTCTGTGTTGCTGTCCCTTTGTTTATTCGGGGACACAGAAGATGCAGTCAAGTCTTCCTGGCTCATCCAGCTGCAGTCTGAGTCTTCCCAGTGGGGCCGACCGGGCTCAGCCGCCTTGTCAGCAGCTGGAATCCCACAGAACAGCTCTAACTCCACTCTGTACTCTAACACCCACTCCGCGCAGCAGACACCTGTGCCCAGCCAGGCCCAGTGAGGAACCCAGCTCCAAGGGAGAGCCCGAGCCAGAGAAAAACTCCCTGCAAAAGTACCAGCTATGTGCCCCTACACAGAGCAACTGGTCCACCTCCTGATGTTGGGCCCTCTTCTCCCCCCTCTACCTCAGACATGGCCAGTTCCCTGCCTCACCTGCACTCTGATTGGAAGACTTGGAGGCCATCTGAACCAAAGCACCTCTCCTAGTCTAGTCGTGATTAAGCTCAGAGACCCTACACCCAGCCTCCTATATCTCCTCCATCACCACTGCCTGGGTGGCCTTGGGCACGTTACTTAACATCTCTGACTTCCTTTCCTCATCTCTAAAATGGGGATCTAGTCATATTTTTCATACAGTCCTCATGGGGATTGAAGGAATCTATGTCTGGAGAGTGCTTTAAAGGGCTCAGCACATTAGTGCTCAAGAAAGGGAACCATTCCACCATCTTCCTTGCAATGAACAAGGCCTGTTACCTCTGGCAGAGCCACCACTGACTAACCCATGACCCCCACCCCCAGCAGCCCTTGCAGAGCCTGTTGCCGGGCTCGAGGGCTCCGTGATGGCCACTCCAGCCCTGCGCCAGGCTGTGCTGGCACTCTGAGGCCACACACAACTCTGTCTTCTGGGAAGTGGCAATCTCACTGGCAAGATAAGACTAATTCTTGAAGCAATTAGTAAAATATACAAGATAGCTTAAAAGTACTACACTGATTGGTGCAGACTATAATTGTGCTAATAATCAGAACCATTTGTATGGCATTTTAGCATTTACCCAGCACTTGGAAATGCATTACCTTATGTAATTCTCAGAACAAACCGGCAGGGTTAAGTATTGTACTGTAATTAGTAGGCGGGAAAACTGAGGCTCACGAAGGTGAAATGCTGGTCTGTAATAGCACCAGCAGTGAGTGAATGAGAGGACAACTTCAACCTGGTTCTGGCTGCAGTTATATGAGGCTTCTTCCTTCTTCTACTGAGTGGGACGTGTGTGTGCGCCTGGGTGTATGTTTACACGGACGGGTACTTCTTCAGGCTTCATCTCACTCCTGTCCTTCTTCCACACTTGGCCCCAAGACCGCTGTGGCCAGAATATCCTGTAGTTCACATTTCATGTCTATTTGTGCTGTGTCCAATGGCTCTGTTCTGGGCCCCTTTCACAGGTGTGGTGGGTGGCCTCTCAGAGCTACTAGGTTTCTGAACTACAAAGAGGACAGGGCATTTGGTAACCCTGTGGCCCTCACACTGACCTGAGGCCCTCAGAAAATGGAGCCAAGGAGCAGGTGGCTTGGGTGCAGGTCACAGAGCCCCGGAAGGCAGGGCTGCAGCAGCCTCCTGGTGGGGCTCCCGGAGAAGCACTGCCAGGCTCCCAGGTCCACCCACAGAAAGGGCCATGGCCTGGGGAAGGATGCCGAGTGCAGACCGCAGCAGAAGGTGGCCAGCTCCCTATGACGTGGTGTGATGAAAACTACACCTTGGGTTTGAAGTCACATGCCTGGCTCAAGTCCAGCCTCTGCTCCCTGGTGGTGCCACCCTGGCCAGTCCCCTTACCTCAGCTCCTCAGTCTCCCCTTTCTAAAATGCAGACAATAGTAACGCTTACTCCACAGGTTGCTGTCAGGATTAAAGTAAATTTTGTCAAGTATTGCTTGGCACATAGTAGGTGCTCTCAGTGCCACATCATTACATCTGTGGGCCCTAGGCACTTCTGCTTTTCCTTTAAAAGAAATGACACTTTTATGCCCTCTAACTGCATCATGACACAAAGCTCCAGGCCTCTTGCGCTGATGGGTTTACCATGCATGCTGTTGTGGATGTTCAAGTATCTTGGGGACCAATAAGTGCTGTGCTGTAGGGTCACAGTCATTCCTCCAGGGATGCTCCCCATCCTCCCGTGCATCCAGCATCATTGTATTGGATGCCATGCTGCGGCGCCAAATTTCCCAGCACAAGAGTAGTCTCTGGCCTCTCCCTTCCATTCCTGGGCACCACAGGGATGCAGGGATGTGGGGATGTCATGCAGAGATTAGCCTGGGTGACCGACTCATTTAGACCTCAGGGCAGGGGAAAGGGCCTCTGGAGGCCAGATACCCACTGGGTCCTTTCACAGCGACCCTCAGAGTGGTAGCAACAGTGGCCTCTAATGGCCCCAAATCTCCCTCCACACGGTGCCTGCCTCACCTGCCTCCCAGGGGGCCCCCAGAGTCCAGGGCATGACTGAGGCTTGTGCTGACATTCACGTATTTGTGTTTGCATAAACCCCCCTCAATCAACACAGGATTCGAATCCAGTAACAGAATTAAACCCACAACTATGTGCGGTGTGTTCATGCGTGCACAAAGCCAAAGCTAAGCTCCAGATCACCGCTGGCCATAAACACAGGGTGAGCCACAAGATGAGCCACATGTATAACTTCAAATGACCTTGTAAGTGAAACCCGATGAAACTGATTTAATGTTTTATTTAATCCAAAACATCAAAATATTATCCTCTACATGTAATCAATATAAAATTATTAATGAAAAATTTTCGATATTTTTCATTCGAAGTTTTTGAAGTTCTATATGTATTTTACAATGTGGCATATCTCAGTTCTAATGTAGTGTTCCAACTAATTTCATTGGAAATATCATCTGTACTTTATGTACTTCATAAAATTTACAGCTGAAAAGCAGATTCACATACCAGCATTTCCCAACCACACTGCAAAGTTTTCCAATAACCGATTCAAGTAATAGTTTTGAAATTTAAATGCAAATTAATTAAACATTAAATAAAATTTAAAATTCAATTCCTTAGTTATACTTATTCCCATTTCAAGTACTCAACAGCCACATGTGGCTAGTGGTTACTGAACTGGACAACGCAGGCTAGATGGTAAAACAGCAGAGGAATCAAGCACGCCTTTGTGAGAGGGAGCACTCTGCACATGGAAGAACACTATTTGTCAGCAAAGTCCTCACTTTCAGGTACAGGAGTCATCATTTTCAGCTGGGCTGACGATGGACAGGACACAGGACGGAGCCTCCAGCAGCCTGAGGAGGGTCTGTGGCCTCACCCGAGGACGGGCTCCTGGAGGCCAGTGCAGCGTCAGAGGCATGTGGAGGGGAGAGCAGTCATGTGCTCAGAGGAGGATCTGACTTCTCTGGGGCGCTGTGACCATGGCACCATGGAAATGCAGGCGTTTGGACTCACTTAGTGCTCAGTGAGGGATCCCTGCTTCTTGCTGCTCTGACACCTGCCCTGGGTTAATAAAGCAGGTGAACCGGTACTTGTACCGGTTCTCAGTCTGCACCCTGAGGAGCACTTTCCCACACGGCTTCCACCTGGTGATCCCACATCTCAACCTTGCCCCCCACCTGTGCCACCTGCCCACTGACTGCTCTGCTGCCCCTCTATGCTGGGCCAATGGAAAGCAGCTGAAGGATGTAGCACATACCACGCATCACTACCACCCCTGGCAGCCACTGTCCTCGGCCGCAGGCCAGCACAGTGACCATCACACTGGACATGCACTTGTATTCTCAGGATTCCGACACTTCAGCAGGGTGGGAAGGCCAGCCAATACCTCTGGATAAACAGGTGCAGACAGCGGAGCCCCAGGCCTGTGCTACTGGAGTGTGCAGCCCTGCCTGCACAGACTTAGGTCAGCTCTGTGCCCAGGATCTTCATTTGCAGGCCCTGCGCTGTCCAGCGGTGGGGGTGCACCTCCAGGAGCCATGCACAGCCCTATGCAGCCTCGCTGACTAGGCACCACACCACCATGGCGAGAGCACAGAGCAGCTGTGGGAATGAGCAAAGCCAGCTGGCTCCAGACCCCACTGTACAGCCTCCTGAGAACCTCCCACATCAACTCTTAACAGAGAGAAGGTGCTCAAGGTAGCTCTGAGGGCACCCCGCCCCCCACCCTGGGGTCTGAAGCCTAAAGGAAGCCAGCTGCAGCCGGGCTATTTGGGAGCACTCAGGACGTGGCCCTCCACCGCCGGCCCATGTTCTCAATTGTGTCCCGGAGCATCACCGTCCAGTCGTCACTCCTCCGCATTGGGGTGCAGCGCGTCTCCTTTCCCTCCAGGGCTAGGATCTCCGTGGGAGTTTCTGGGCTCAATCCAGCAGCCACGATAGCTTCTGGAAACTTGGCTGCAGAGGCAGGGGCCAGACAACACCGGGGAGGGCTGTGGGGGTGGGGCAGGTGGAAACAAGTATTTGGGAGACAACAGATGGAGGGACAGGTACAGAAAAGGGAGGGGAAGAAGGAACAGGGATGGTTAGGGGTAGTGTGGGGCACGGAGGAAAAAGAGAGAGGCAGACCTTAAACTTGTCTCTACAATGACTGCTGAGCAAATTGCTTCTTCCTGTGGAAGGCCCAGCTCACCCACCACCTCCCATGTGGGCTGTCCTGGGACACCTATCATGTACCCTCTTCTGAGACCACGGTTCTTGAGTTACAGTTCCACAGAGCACCCATTATGCTCACTCAAGCCATTTGTTCACATTCCTGTGTTCCCTGCTTGGGGAAGAAGAGGGTCCCTGAAAGCCAAAGTCCACCCCCTCTTGCCCAGTGACCCAGGTGCCCATGGCCATACCTGGGGGTCTGCCTGAGCATCTGCTGGTAATGGTAGCTCACGGCCACGGCCGTGTGAGGGCACAGCAAGGACTGGTTCTCTTCCCAGCAGCGGGCCATGGTCTGCGTGATGGCCTCGTCTGACACTGACTCAGATGTCACTGCCGCTGAAAGCTGATGGTCCCAGGGCCAGGGGGGTGGTAATCATGGTTGGGGGAAGCAGGGAGAAAGGTGACAAAAAACACACTAAATAACAAGAGACTCAGTTCAGATGGAATGGCTTAGATTTATCTCAGAGGAAAATCTGTTTTCCCACATTTCCCAGTTGTAAGCTGACTCACTCAACTTGAGGAAAGGATGCATTTGACTTCCAGGTCAATAAACTAGGATTTAGCTCGTGAATCAGCAAATAGAGAGTCTGGTTCAACAACCTCAAGAACACAGAAGGTTAAGGGCGTTCAAACACTCCCAGTGTTGTGTGGTTGGTGCACCCTGGTCCTGTGGGCACGAGACCCCTTCATGTCTGTTTCCACCTGGCTCAGCAGCAGCTCCTCTGGGAAACCTCCCGCCACCCCAGGCAGAGAACACCTCCCTTCTCGGTGTGCCCTGGTGCAGATGGCTTATGTGATCATACTCTGAAAAGCTATTGCATGCCTACCATGTGCCAAACACCCTGCATACCCTCGATGGCAACAGAAATCAGAGGGTGTTATAAACCTCTTCCATTAGGGCTCATGGAAGACAATGAGTGCATTTTATTTGTATTGTTATCTCCAGCACCACGCACAGTCTCTGGCTCAAAATATATATGGAATGAATGAATGAATGCTATTCTAGCGATGAAGTGTCTTCTACATGCATAGACAGGGAGAGAACAAAGAACGGGTGGGTACTGTCTGTGCTCCTGCAGCACCTCATTACACAAGGAGAAGGAAAGTGGAGGTCAAAACAAACCATTAACCTAACAAGCTGATCTGTGCTTGTGTTACGGTCTGAATGTGTGTCACCCCAATTTCATATGCTAAAAATGTGATGGCATTAGGGGGTGGGCTTTTGGGAGGTATTTAGGTCACGAGGGTAGAGTCCCCATGAATGGGATTAGTGCCTTGATAAAAAGAGGGCAGAGATCTGGCTAAGTCTCTTTTCTCCTGTGTGAGAGTACAAGGCACCACATGCAACCTGGCAGAAGGCTCAGCAGAACCCATCTACGCTGACCCAGACTTTCAGCCTCTCCCCATAACTGTCAGAAATGAATTGGCTTTGTTTATAAGCCACACAGTCCATGGCACTTTGATATAGCAGCCCAGATTAAGACAGGTTACATCAAAAGCAGCATAGATTCTGAAGACAGAAATTTCACTCTGCTCTGCATGGGTGGCTAAGCCCAGAGAGCTGTGTCTAGTTCTGGGACCAATCCTTTAAGATGGACAGTGACCACTCAAAACTATGTCACATAAGACACAGTGAAAGGAACCAGGAAGGCTTAGTGGGTGAATAAAGATCTTCCTCAAATATGGGAATCGGACTGCCCGCTGGTGTGCAAGCTAGGAGCAGCTTCCACTCAACATGAAGAACTGTGCAATGCTTGAAATGGTGCGAGGTGGTGAGGCCCTGATCCCTGGGGACAGAGTTCAGATGACCACTTGGTGGGAATGTGGTAGAGAAAACTAAATGCAGCTTCAACATATAAAATCCTATTTTTGTATATTAAACTAGAGGCCCAGTGCATGAAATTCGTACATGGGGGGGTTCCCTCAGCCCAGCCTGTACCCTCTCCAATCAGGAACCCCTGGGGATGTCCAACTGCCACAGGGATTGGGCATAAACCAGCAGTTGGACATCCCTTTTGCAATCTGGGACCACTGGCTCCTAACTGCTCACCAGCCTGCCTGCCTGATAGCCCCTAACCACTCTGCCTGCCTGCCTGATTGCCTCTAACTGCCTCTGCCTGCCTGCCTGATCACCCCTAACTGCTCTCCCCTGCCTGCCTGATAGCCCCCAACTGCCCTCCCCTGCCAGCCTGGTCGCCCCCAACAACCCTCCCCTGCCGGCCTGATCTCGCCCCCAAATGCCCTCCCCTGCTGGCCTGATCGCCCCTAACTGCCTCTGCCTTGGCCCCCACCACCATGGCTTTATCTGGAAGGAAGTTGGATGTGTGGAAGATGGCTGGTCAACCTGGTATAATTAGCATATTACCCTTTTAGTAGTATAGATAGATTATATAGGATAGGATTACTTAAATGGGGAGAGGGGGCCTTTTTCAGCAGGAGGAGATACTCTTGGCAGACAAAAATACATAATCCCTATATCTGGACTGATAGCCAGCCATATGCACTATACTGCCAAACTGGTTATTAAAAAATTGAACTGCTTTCTTACACCTTACACCAAACAGCTGTTGTCCTTAAAAGCCCTCCTCAGCCCCCACTTTAGGTTCTGCCTTCTCAGTTCACCCAGATTAGGTTCTGATTAGTCGGTTTCTATGCCAGTCAGCATCAAAAGCTCCGCCTCCTAGGCAGCCATTGGCTCCTTGCAGTTCACCCAGATTTGGTTCTGATCAGTCAGTTTCTATGCCAGTCAGTGTCAAAAGCTCTGCCTCCTAGGCAGCGATTGGCTCTTTTGGGAAATCCAGAATGGCCCCACTGACAGCTCTCTCTCTCTCTCTCTCTCTCTCTCTCTCTCTCTCTCTCTCTCGGCCTATCCCCAGGCCTGACCTGCAGCCTCCTCAGTGGCTGCTGATCAGGCCCTGCCTTTCTCTCCAGGCCTATCTCCGGGCCTGATCCACAGCCTCTGCAGCAGCTGCGGATCAGGCCCCGCCTCTCTCTCTGGGCCTCTCTCTGGGCCTGATCTGCAGTCGCAGCGCCTGCCTTGTCCCGCCCCCCTCCGCCCCCCCCACCACCACCCTGCCCACTGGCCTGCCGCCATCCTTGCTGTGATAGGAGCCTGGGGGCCATGGGGGAGGGACTGAGAGGTGCTTCATGCACTTCCTGGTGACTGGTCGTCCATCTGGTCATTTAGGTCGTGATGGCCCTCGGCTATTATTAGTATAGATAAGTGACCATCACCAAGGTGGCATTAAAATGAAAGCAATCGCTCCCAACTAGATTCCTATCACTCTGAGGAGATAAAATTGCACCTCCTTTTAAAATAAAGCTAACAGGACAGTGGTCTCTGCTCATACTGGATGGACAAAGTGACTTCCAGTTGTGACTACTGGAAATCAACAATGATAAAAATTAAAATAATAACAGTTAATATATCAAGCCCTATATTGCCTGGCAGTATTCAAAATACTTCAGAAGTATTATTTGTCTTAAATCTTCAAGGCTGTAGCATAGGCATTCTTATTATCCCCAATGTACAGATAAGAAAATCAAAGCACTGAGTTTGAGAAACTGGGCCCTGTCTGACTCCAAGTCAGCACTCTCTACTGCCTCTCCACATTCAATAAACACATCCAGATAAAGTGACTGGAAAGTGCCAGGCTCAGAGCAGATGCTCAAGAAACAGGTGTCTCCATCCCTTAAACAGATTTTCAAACCCCAAGTTTTAGTGGTGTTTTGGGGGCTGCACTCTTTCCTTTCTCGGTGGTGTGTGGGTGGTGACTGACCTTGCTTTGCAGTTCCTCAGGCAGACTCACACTTTGGGTCCTTTCAAACTGCTCCATGAGGCCTCTTGTCATCTGGCTGTCAGAGCCAGATAGCAGCCAGAAAATCCTCTCCATGTTGTAGGGCACCTGCACAGAAAGGAGGAGCCGGGGGCGGGGGTTACTCTGATCTCAGCCCTGTCCATCCCACCCACCCAACACCTGACTGCATGCCTCCCCACAGGTCCCACCTGGATGTCCATAGCTGATGCTAAGGTTGGCTTGACAGTCTCAGACAGAGAGAAGTCTCCTCGCTGGACAGTCCTATGGATGATATCATTGCAGTTCACCGCTGCGACCAGGTGGATGGGCAGGCCCATCTTCTGAGCAATGCACCCAGCTTAAGACAAGAGAGGAGAACAACAATGGCTTCTTAGGCATGACTTCAAGAGCACACTCACACACACACAAAAAATGATAAATTGTACTTTATCAAAATTATGAAACTTCTGGTGTTTTTTGGAGCTTTTATGCTTCAAAGGACACTATTAAGAAAATGAAAAGGCAACCCTGAATGGGAAAACTATTTGCAAATCATACCGCTAATAAGAGATTTATGTCCAGAATATATAAAAAACACTTACAACCCAACAATGAAAACACAAATAACCCAATTTAAAAATGGGCAAAGGACTTGAATAGACATTTCTCCAAAGATATACAAATGGCAAATGAACACATGTAAAGTCACTCAATATCATTGGTCACCAGGAAAGTGCAAAACAACACTACAATGACATACCACTTCATACCCACTAGGATGGCTAGAATAGAACAAAAGAGATAATTCCACATCTTACTCAGGTGTTTGCTAGTCCTTCAACTAGCAAAGGACTGATCGGCCAGAACCCAAGTCTGGAACTCCCCCCATGCCCCCCAGCAGCAATTCCAGGGGGGAATTATAAGGGAATTAACTGCAACCCTTATACTGCTAGTGAGAATGTAAAATGGTGCAGCCACTTTGGAAAACAGTCTGGCAGTTCCTCAAAAAATTAAGCATAGAGTTACCATATGACCCAGAAATTCACTCCTACATATATACACTCAAGATAAATAAAAACAAGTTTATACAAAAACTTTTACACAAATGTTCATAGCAGCATTATTCATAATAGCTAAAAAAATGAAACAATCCAAATGTCTATTAATTGATAAATGGATAAATTGTGGTCTATCCATACAATGTGGTATTATCCTATATAATAAAAGCCTAATATGCAAATTATCCCCTCGATTGGGTGTTTGACTGGGAGTTCCACTGCTTGCTATGACATGCGCTGACCACCAGGGGGTGGCGCAGAACATGGTGGGCGTTGGTTACGCCGCATTGGCAGTGGGTGGCAGTGAAGGCGCTGCTGGCCCTGATGGGCCCTGAGGAGAGCGGGACCGCAGCAGGATGGTGGAGCAGTTGGGTGGGCAGCACTAAGCCAAGGCAGATGCGAACGAGAGCCGATCGCCCCACCGATTGCTCCACAGATGGCGACCAGTGGCCAGCAGGCCCTGATGGCCTGATGCGGGGGCGGGGGGGGGGGAGCAGGAGGGTCTCTGGGCTGGGAATGGGTGGCGGCGACCAACCTCCTGCGACGCCTGGGCGAGGGGCTGTGACCTCTCGCCAGCTACCTGAGGGTGGGGGTGATGGGGATGGAGGTGCAGTGAGAATGTGGGGTGTCTGCCAAGCTTGCTCTCACTCTGCCTGCTACCCTCCCCCAGGATGCTAGGGCTTGTGCACTGGGGAAGCCCCCACGCTCAGGTTCCAGGCACCTGCGAGGAGCCCACCCTGCACCTGGGCAGCCTCTTCTGGGTAAGCCAGGCTGCAGCCGCAGGGACTGGTTAGGCTCCCTGTGGGTTTGCACAGGAGCTGGTCTTTGAGGCCAGCTGGGAGAAAGCACACTGCCTGCATGGCTTCTATGTGGCGCCACGGGGTGGCCCAGAGGCCCACTGGCTCTGCCATGGACCCATGTAGAAGCAAGGGCGAGCCAACTAACTTCTCTGTGCCTGGTGTCAACCCAAAACGGAAGTAACAGTATCATCCTTCTCATGGGCACACGTGAATATCAAATGAGTTAATAAGCAAAAGGCACTTAAAGCAATGCCTGCTACAGCCGGTGCTTGATGTTAATTATTATTGAAAATGATTTTAATATCATGCAGCTGTACAAAGGTCATGTGCACACAAACCAATCTCACCATCCTCACAGCCATCCTGAGACATGAGTGACCCGTTGTCCCTTTCACACCTGAGAGACCAGGTCTGAAGGGCCACCCATGGCTGTTCAACTAGCAAAGGACTGATCGGCCAGAACCCAAGTCTGGAACTCCCCCCCTGCCCCCCAGCAGCAATTCCAGGGGGGCAGCCCAATGCCAGTGGAGCTGCTTGCCCTACAGCAGGCAGCACCAAGGCCAGGAGGAAAGCCCGCATTTCTGGAAGAGGGCACCATGAGCAAGTATGGTGGCTGAACCTTGACCTCATCTGCCCACACTCTGCCAAGTTTGGGCATCAGGTCAGGTGGCCAGAGGATGTCAGGATCAACCTATCACTCTTCCTTTGCAGCAAGTGCCGATGTCCCCCAGGGTGTTGGGGGAGGTGTTTTGGAAGCTCCTTCTGCAGTTTCCCATCCCCTTCAGAGCCAGGACTCAATCTTTCTCAGGGCTGCAGGCAAAGGGCATTTGAAAGGGGTGGGGCCACAGATGATTTCTGCAAAGCCCATTTGCGCCCAGGGTCTCCTTACCTGCAAGGTTACCAGCAGCTCCTGTCGGCACAACCACTTCCACATCAGGGAGCGGGTGCAAATCTAAGGATGGCACACACTGGAAGTAAGCAAAGAAGTGGTGAGCCATTTGCACGAGGACCCGGGACCAGTTGATTGAATTCAGACTCATCAGATTGTGCTTCTTGACAAAAGCCACATCAGCAAACACGGCCTTGATGGGTTCATCAAGCTCATCGCTGTTTCCCTCCACTGTTGGGAGAGGAGAGAGTAGCTGTCAAAAGCACAGAGCACCCCAGGCAGTCAGCACTGCCACAGGCCCTCCCAGGCTGAGCCTGCCAGCTGGGACTTTGGCTCGGCCTTCATTTCTCTACTCTAATGTGCCTTGGCCTGGCTTTCTACACTCAAAATTAAGCTCCTCAAGGCTAGAAACCATGTCTTGTGTTCATGTGGTCATATTTCTGATGTTTCTACCATTATATAAACTGAGATATAAAATACCAACCTCAGGGATATTGGAAAAAGAATTCCCATTGGTATTCTGTGCCCACCTCCCCTAGGGGAAGAAGGATGGCTTATCAAGTAGTGAGATAGTGACAGGCTGATCCTCTATCAGGAGTTCAAAGGGGAAGAGTCACTGGCCCATGTGCCTGCCCTTCCTCCCTCATCTAGATCACAGGTGGGTGTTCTCCTTTCTGCTCCTACTTAGTAGGTAAGCCAGCATGGGCAGGACTCCTCCCTGTGATGGGTATGTACAGAGGTTAATTTATGGATGAATTATTGGGTGAATTTATGAATGAATTGGCTACTAGTTCAAGTTACTTTCTCCAACCCAATCAGGCCAATATTGATCTCATATCTGAAAGCTGGGTCTATTTCTCCATTGGATCCTAACTTGAAGGACATTGGGAGAAGTGCCATGGCTCACACTGAGGTTATTATCCATCCCACCTTCATCATTGTGCCACAGCAGTGAGGTCTGGGGATGACTTAACCAGGTGCAAGATTTCAGGAAAAGATCCACTGCTTTTAAGAGCAAGTCACAGGAAGAGAGAGACTAGCTTACCTCAAGTAGTCATCAAAGGCCACAAGAATGGGCCTTAAGATTGGGGAAAGCAGAACAGAGAATGCAAAGAACCTGGGTCCCGGAGGGTACTGCTGAGTCAATGAATCAACCAATCAGGAGACCACCCCCACTCTGGACTTCCAGTTACATCAGCTGGGAAACCTTGCTCAAGCTGGTCTGAGTTAGATTCCCTGTTTCTTCCAGGCAAAACCATCCCAAATAATATATAACTAGCTCAGGCTGATTGCTCTGTGCTTAAGAAGGACCACATACATAATGTATATGGAAACCAATGACTTACAAAAGTGTCCAACACATAACAATCCAGGTGACCCACCCCTATTATGAGAAAATGAGTATTTACTGCTCCCGAACTACACACATTTTCCTGGAAACCAAATCAGCAGGTTCTAGAAAGGCAAGGAAGAACTTGAACAGTGGTGTCTAGAAATGAAAACTAATTTAAAGTCTGATGCCTTATATTATGAAAGCTCAGAAGACGTACATAACAGAAATGCCCCTTTGGCTCCAGCAGTAACACTTTCTGCCTCTCTTCTGCAATGGGCACCTTCTCTAACTCACACCAGGAATGAAGCTTCCATGCACATCCTCAGGGCAAAGCCTTCCAGCCTCTGTACAAAGTGAGGGGGAGCAGGTGGCAGGACAGAGGTACTAAAAGCTCTTTTCCTCTTTGCTTTGATTCTAGGAAAAGATGGTCCTAGTTCTACAACTAGCAATTTTGGTACTTGGGGTACAACAGGGACCCTCAAGAACCTGAATCTTGTGCACTAAAATCTTGCAATGACTGCAGGAAAATGCAGCTAAATATGGGCAATCACCAAGACTAATGTGTAAGATTTTGCCAATATCTGCACTGGCTGACCCATGAACTTCTTGCTTGACTGTGGATGCACTTGTTAAAGAGAGCGCACAGGGGATTTTTCCTTGCTCTTGAACAAATAGACAGGATAGTCACGCTACTCCCATGAGTAAGGTTTGTTTTCACTGTGCTTTTGCTTTTTAAAAACTTGGTGTTATATAAAAACATCCTTTGTGGGATTATGCCAGGAGGCCAGGCCAGCTGGAGAAGGAATGTCACATTTGCTGCTCTGCCAGGTAAGTGACCAAACCAAGCCAGGATGCCTAGACAGCTGGCCCAAGGCCGCAACACACAAAACCTCACCAAGACCCCTGCCATAGGCTACCTGGAATCTTGTGGGGTATGAGAGATGAAAATAAAAGCTCACCCCCTCTTACTCCACAAAGATGAAACCTATTGAGACTAGAAGGCCTGATAGTAGAGGCCTGATATTAGATTTATGCCTTTTTCAAAATGCTACAGTTTGTGATGTGGCTGTGATGTGTGCAGCTGAGTGGCTGCCTACTTTAAATCCTCAGACCTGCTAACCAAGTGCATGGCTTAGTTATTTCCACACTATAAGGAGGGCATAAGCTATCAACCAGTAATGACACTTTTAAAATAATTATTTAACACGTTTTTGTCCTCTAAACTTCAGTGTCCTGGGGAAAAGAAAACCCTCAGCCACCTGCTTAGGGTGTGGCTCTGGTTGCTGCACATACACATGGTCACCTCCAACAGTTTATGAGACTGCAGCCAAGAACCTGCGCAGAGCTAAGCCAAATCATATTACCAACCTCAAAAGATGACTGATCAAGGAAGGGAGGGAGGGAGGAAGAGGAAGGATGGTCAGCTAGTCAACAACCAGCCCATCTTCCCAAACAGGCCACTGCCCTGGAGCCCGCCCCAGCACTCCCCTCCAAACACACGGACGTTCTCCTCCAGCACCGTGGTCATCTGCAGCTCCTGGATCTTCGTGCAGTGCCCCTGGGGCAGGAGAACAATAATGCCCACGTTCTTTGCCCCTCGAACACTCTCAATGGCAGCACTCCCTGTGTCTCCAGAAGTTCCTGGATGGGAAGGGAAAGAATTTCCCCTTTAGAACAAGGGAGACAAAAGAGGGGGAAATGCCCCTAAAGCACTGTTGCCAAATGAGGCAATATCTACCATCAATACTCGAAGGGTAGCAAACCATGAACCACCAAGAGACCCACGGAGAGAATTCAAGGCATCTGTGCACTTAAACCACATAATCTTATGCAGTCTATATCTTTAAAAATGCCCTTCTGAGAAGGTTCCACAGCCTCCACCAGACCGTGAAAGGGGACTGTGGCATGAGGGAAGGTTGAGACCCTGCTCTAGAAGACCCACGACACACGCCCTGAGAGGCATCAGAGGAGGACACACGGTGGGTGGACACCAGCAAGCTGGGGCACTCGGGCTGCAGGGCTCACGCGGACGCGCACCTACAACCACAGTGACGTGCTTCCCCCTCTTCTGCAGGAAGTACTGCAAGAACTGGGCCGTGCAGCTCAGGGACAGGTCCTTAAACGCATATGTGGCTCCGTGCCACAGCTCCAGCACATTCAGCCCGTCCCGCAGCCTGGAAAGACGGACCACTTCTCTGTGGCGGAATCTGCGGAAGGCTCGGTGGATCAGATCTGCAGGTACAGCAGGCAGAGGGCATTGTTAAGTCTTCCCTCCAGTTCTCTCTCAGTCTCTTTACACTTTTGAATTTGAAGTTTTTTTCTCTGCTACAGGATAAAAAGAGCAGAAATTTTTATCCTAAATGATACCACACATGAATATAATTGTGTAATTCTAGAGAAAGTCTGTAAAGACAGGCACCACACTGCTGACGAGTCCCCATGGGATCCCCCCAGAGAGCAGAGATGGTAGTGCAAGACTTTCATTTTCTACTTTATAAACATCTTCATCATTTGGATTTCTTGTGAATGTATTCCAATAGAACATTCAATTAAAGTTATGTGACAAACAAATCAATGTCTCGTCTCTTCCCATTTTTCTTCCTAAAGACAGCACACTGTTTGCTGCATTATTAAATCACACTGGGAAGCCGGAACCTTGGGAGGCTGTTCATACAAGCCCACCTGAGGCAAGGCCGTCTGAACACGTCTGAGTTTCATTGGCAAACCGATCACCTGGGATCTTAAAATGCAGACTCTGGGTCAGCAGGTCTGAGGGAATCTGAGAATTCTAATAAGCGCCCAGGCAATGTTATTGGCACTGGTTGTCGAACCACCTTCTGAGTGGCCCTCTTCTCCTAAACTCTCAACATGAAGTATGGATATCGTATACCTCGTCCATGGAACAGCAGCACTGGCATTATCTGGACACTGGATAGGAAGGCTCACCCAGACCTCCTGAACCAGAATGTGCATTTCAATGAGCCCCTGAGGGGAATCCACAGCACTTTACAGTTTGAGACCAGCTGGTCCAAGACACACTGAGTCAGCAAGCTGTGTGCCTTATGTGCAGGAAAGGAAAATCTCAACATTCAAACTGTGAGTCTTGAAAAAGTGAAAAAGTGTTTTAAAAATAAACTAAAGGAAAAAAATTTCTCTGCAGATCATTTTGGCGGGTGGGAGGAGCTGGATATTTCCAATTCTGGAATTCCAAAGTCTGAAAGAAACACGACATTTTGGGAAATGTGACTAAAGATCTCCTAGGGATGAAGTGATAGATTTTCAACTCTGTGGGAGGCTGGGCTGGCAGAGGTAGGAGAGTGGAAGTGGGATGAGGGTGCTCACCATTTAAGTCATCTCTTGGGATGAGCTCTGGGCCAATGAAAAGGGCACACAGCTCCACGACCAGGCTTGGGTAGGAGAGCGCACTCCACTGACGTAGGGTCTCCCTGCTCAGCTGTGGGAGCTCCTCAGGCATGAAGAGGCCCCCATCGGGTGCATAGCCAGAGAAGAGGGCACCCTCAAAGTCGACGCGGGGGGCCATCCCCCTGGTGCTGACGTACCACATGACCCTGGAGGCCTGCAGAGGGGATAGTCCAGAAACACCGGTCTCGTTCCCAGCATTCCTGAGCTGTGATGCACATACACATGGCTACATGGCACTGGCAGGCTGAACTGCATGGAGGTGGTGCTCTTGGGGGTATGATTTCAAACCTGCACTTCCTAGCCTGACTGTGAATGTTGCCTTATGCATCTGTCACCTCCAACAGTTTATGAGACTGAGCCAAGAACCTGCCCAGAGCTAAGCCAAATCATATTACCAACCTCAAAAGATGACTGATCAAGGAAGGGAGGGAGGAAGAAGAAGGATGGGCAAAGCTAAAGTGGACACTGCCTCCTCAGCTAGCTCCCGGATCACTACTCATAGGGGTAAGTGTTCCAGGCCAGAATACTGGAGCCCTGCCCCAAGTCTCATGCCAGCTTCATCTGGGACTAAGCAAATCATGAACCCTCCCATCAAAATGAGGCAATTCCATGACTTACTAAGGGGGTACCAGAGCATAATGGGAAAGATAGCGTGGTCCTCACTGGTGAGGAAGAAGGCCGTGGGTGGGGAAAGATAATAGCAATAAGAGTGACTGCCATTTGACATCCCTTATGATAGGAGAGGACCACCACACTTGGTCACCACCCTTTCGAGAGATGTTTGTGCCCACTTCTGCTCAAAAATAACCACATTCAATGGTCATTTAGTCATGTTGCCTATAACCTAGTGGTTCTCAACTCTGGTAGTTTGTTAGAATCAACTTGGGAGTCAAAAAATATACGTCTATGTGAGGCCCTACCTGGATTAATTCAACTAGAATCTTCAAATGAGAGGCTCCTTGTGTGAGGCTCAAATGCAGCCAGAGTTAAGAGTAGGGTGACTAACTCACCTCAGTCTTCCTGGGACTTTCCTGATTTTAAAACTGAAAGTCCTACATCCCAGGTAACCCCTCAGTACCAGGCAAACGAGGACAGCTGGTCACCATCGTTGAAACCAGTGCCCCACCTCTCAGCCTAATCCGAGAAGAGTAGTGCTGTCAGGCTGCCCTTAATACTCCGGCCACGGCCAACCGCCCCGGGGTGAACTCAGAGGTCTCGGACGGGTGGGTGGGTGTCCAAAAGCACCTCAGGCCTCATTTTGGTCACACTCCCACATCAATTTGATTCCCAGGTGCCAGGGCCAGAGGGGAACCCCTGCCCTCAGGGGGCAAAGCCACCTAAAGCTTCCCATCTAGAAGAAAGGGTACAAGCTAGCATTGGCCGGGAGGAACTCTGGTTTTCTAGATTGTGGATACAATACCTCTGAGCTCTGGGTGCATCCTATAAGGGCTGCTGTGTGCCACCCCCTTGACATGGCACCCAGCTCCAGGGAATCCAACTGATGTGGCAGTCTGACCAAAGTGAGGCTGGAGGTACCCTTAGACACCTTCCCACCCACCCCCGTCAGAGACCTCTAGTCCACACAGGGCCAGCTAGCCATGCCAAAGTATTAAGGGCAGCCCATCAGTACTTCCAACTACTCTTCTCGGATTAGGCTGAGAGGTGGAGCACTGGTTTCAAATATAGATGCATCCAACTTACAGACAGAGACAAGTTCAATCATCCAAATCATGAATCTTTTGAAAGTGAAAGTGGATACTACTAATAGTTATGCCAGGGCAATGGGTATAAGCACAACTGTCTCAGGCAAACTGGAGCATATGGTACAGGGAGGCATGTCAAGGATATGAAATCGGGGTAACTCCAAAAAGCAACTGCAGCAGGGAAGCAAAGCAGGCCCCATGTTTTACAAACAGAACCAGGGAAGGGACCTGGGACTAGCAGTGCCTTCAATAGGGGGAGGAGTTTCTGTAACAGTGGCAATGGTTAGAGTTACTGCAAACTGCCCAAGACCCTGGGGTGACGAGGGAGATCCTGCCTGGCCACTTCTCAGGACCAGTCTGAAGGGCGCTGCCAAAGAAGCTGCCACAGGCAGAGGTCTGCTGGGGGGGTGGGGGGGACAAGCAGAGCTATAAGGACAGGCTACATCATGCCTGGCCACTGGGCTCTGCATTTCCTTTTCTTTTTTAAAAATATATTTTTATTGATTTCAGAGAGGAAGGGAGATGGAGAGAGAGATAGAAACATCAATGATGAGAATCACTGATCAGCTGCCCCTTGCATGCCCCACACAGGGGATCAACCCTGCAAACAGGTACATGCAGTGACTGTTCCCAGACCAGGAATTGAACTGTGACTTCCTGGTTCATAGGTCGACACTCAACCACTGAGCCACACAGGCTGGGCTGGGCTCTGCATTTTCTGAAGGATGTGGACAAATGCCCAGGAACAAAGGAGAGGGCCTGACAGCAGGCTCAGCACATGTCAGGGTTGGGAGCTGGCCTGATCAGCCTGGGGCAGACTATTCTGTCCCATGACCCCAAGGGCAGCACTCTCAGACCACATAGAGAAAATACATCATTAGGTCCAACGTCAGATAAACCAAACAGAGAAGCCCAGAAGTCGAAGGAGCTGCCACAGGGAGTGATGAAGTTGAGGAAGAAAATCAAACAATTCTGTCCCACCGGTGTGTGGGCGCTCCAAGCACAGAGATGGGGACTGGACTAAGGGGCCTCTGAAACACAAGATTTTATAATTGACTAGAGGCCCGATGCACAAAATTCGTGCACGGGGGCAGGGGGAGGGGAGGGTCCCCTCAGCCCAGCCTGTACCCTCTCCAATCCAGGACCCCTCGGGGAATGTCCGATCCTCAGGATCGGACCTAAACCGGCAATCGGACATCCCTCTCACAATCCTGGACCGCTGGCTCCTAACCACTCACCTGCCTGCCTGCCTGATCGCCCCTAACTGCCCCCCTGACAGCCTGATCACCCCTAACTGCCTCTGACTGCCAGCCTGATTGCCCCCAACAGCCCCCTCCACCCCCACCCCCCCTGGTCGACCCACCCAGCCTGTTTGGTGGTCCATTCGGTTGCGATGGTTGCTTAGGCTTTTATATAGATAGATCCTTGTGACTCTGATCTTATTCCAGAGTGGAAATGGGACAGATGAATACAAGGGAAACAGGTTGCCCTGGCTGGGGGCCATTTGGGGAAGGGCTCCTCTGAGAGGTGGAGAGGTTTTTCAGAGAAGGGGTGGGGCAGGGCAGAGACATGGACCCCAGCAGGAGAACCCCTGGCCACTGTGGGCAGATGGCAGGCTGTGTCCCTGGGGTGGAGGCCCCTGCAGGTCACAGGCCTCCAGTTAGCCAGGCCCTGGGCCAAGAAGGCTCTGAAAGATCTGCAGACAGGGCTCCACTGCCAGCTCGGAGCCACCGCGGAAACCCTGCAGAGGGAGCGCAGCGGGGGAAACCCGCAACCTCCGGGCTTCCAACAAGTTGCAGCGCAAGAACCAGAGGTTAGTTACAGAAAGAGGCGGGCGCGACGCCGTCCCGCTTAAGCTGGGGTTGAAAGAAACCTCAAGAAGTTCATTCAAGAGCCCAGAAATGCCGACAAACCCACATTCGGGGGGAAGGTGCTCCCTCCTTAGGGAGGGGACGCGAGGAGGGGACGGGCGGAGGGGAACGAGGCCGCGGGGTGCCGGCTCCTGGCGGGGTGTTGCGGGCACCGCCACGAGCGACCGGGAACCCCAGCGCCCGGATCGGATGGGTGGCCTGGGCCCGGCGGCGGCGGGCTGTCCGGCGGTCGCGAGTGGTTACCCGTCCAGGCGCTGGAGGCTGCGGGGTCCGTGCTCCGGCTCCGACGGACACTGCCCGGCCGCGGCCTCGGCTTCCGGTGAAGGACGAGAAGGGGCGGAGGAGGGAGGCGGGGCGGAGGGCGGAGTGGGGGCGGAGGGAGGAGGGGAGACGGAGAGGGAGGGAGGGGGAGGAGGAGGGGGAGGAAAGAGAGAGAGGGGGAGGGAGGAGAGAGGGGGAGGGAGGTGGGAGGGACCGGAGGGAATGGTAATGCGTACAACCATTCCTCACATGGCAAGTCTATAAGGCACTTTGCGAAGTGCTTCGTTCAGTTTCTTAATCTTCATCGCAGCCTCAGAAATACCACATAACCTCATTTTTCAGATTAGAAAACGGAGGGCAAGGTGGAAAGGAGAAAGGCCCTGTCTTTGGCTTCATCCTCTCACCTGTGAAATCAGACGGCTGACAAATTCCTTGTTTCTCAAAGTGGGGCTAGTAAATCAGGAATCCGGAATCCAAGGGGACAGGGTTTTAGCTCGAAAATTTTGTAGGAAAACACTTTTTATTAAGCATAGAACTATTCTAAGGTAAAATGCTTCCGCAATTAATTTTTTTAAAAAGGCAAAACGCCTAAAAAATATTCCCCAGACATGCCCAAGTGCCCCTGGATCCTGGGGTACTCCTGGGTCCCCCCACTTAGGTAGCAAAGTCGGAGGAGCTGGATAGGACAGATGTCCTTTATGGTTCGTCCCGCATCTGGGCTGGGCCTGGTCACTGCAGCAGGCCCAGCTGGCATTATGGGGAAGGTAGGCATGGACGTTGCCCTTTGCTTATTTTCCTTTCTTTCTACTTCTGACTTTCTCCTGAACCCAGCGTTTCTGCTCACTCAGGTGACCTGCTCTCCAAACCTTGGCCCACACATGGTGGCCATTTGACATATCCATACAAGTCCATGTACAAGGCATTGAGTGACAGCAGTTTGGGTAGGTCTCCCGATTCCAGAAAGAGAGAGTCTGATTGGTCACTGCTCAGCTAATGGATTGTGGGCATGGAAGACACAGAAGCCAGGCAGGTGGTTCATTCCCAGAGAGGGTTATAGGCCAGCCAGGGACTCCCAAATGGTTTCCATCCCTGCATCAGGTGTACTTAATCACTCAAAGGCCAGGGAAACTGAGGCCCCTCGACCAAAAAAAAAAAAAAAATAGCCATATGGGGCAGCAGTGTTTTTACAGTGCTCATAACCAACCAGGATGGTTGTGAAACCAGTGCCTTCAACAGAGCTCTCCCACCAGCCCCCTGACAGTCCCAGAGACCTGCAGAACTTCTTCATGATTCCCAGAGCAGGAAGCTCACCTGCGAATTGTACTCTGACTCCGAGAAAGGACAGTAGCAAAAGGCTCAGTGTACAGAGGTTTAATTCGCTAGGAATCCTTGCCTAGGACACTTGGAACACTGCAGCTACAGAAAATAAAAACTGCATGGCCCATGAGTCCCAAGCAGCAGTGGGAATGTGGAGTTCTCTTACATTCCTACATGGATCAACATTTAGTTTTTATACGATTAAAAACTGCTATTATCTATTTATTTTGCCCTTTGCCCTTTTGGATTAGAGTGCTTAACTGTCTGTGACTTAGAAGCCAGCAATTTTTGAATCAGAGCCCAGGGTCCTTGCAATGCTGTTTCTTCCAAGTGTCCCTGCAAAGCTTTCTGATGGGAGGGGAGGCTTCTGCTAGAGTGTGTGCACAGAAGATTTACAGAGTCTCTGAGCACTGGGATGTAGGACTTAGGGACCAGAGCCCTCTCAAGATTTGAGAGCACACAGGGCCTGGACTGCTGGAGAAGAAAGTGACCTGCCGGAGTCCTCTAGCCATTTGCACAGGCCCCAGGCCAGGACTCAGGCTTTTGCTAGAGTCCAAGCTAGCAAGGACAGCAAGGCAGAAGGAATAGAAGATGACAGTCGAGTCAGAACATTCCTGGTCTCTCTGAACAATTTGACCTCCTTAATTGATTACCCACCATTTCCCTTACTGTGCCTGGTGGTTGTTTGAAGAGATGGGTAATATTTAAGCTTAAGTACTCTGAATTACCCTCAGATCACTGAGTTCCTAACTCTGTAACTAAGGGCTCCTAATAAATAGTCTCCAATTATTGAGCAAAAACTGACTGACATATGTCACTGCTTTTTTTTTTTTAGGTTTTATTCTTCTTTTTTTACAGAAACAGCCAAGTTGATCCTAAAGTTTATATAGAAATGCAAAGGATCCAGAATAGCCAAAGCAATCTTGAAAAAGAAGAATAAAGTTGGAAGACTTACACTCCTGGGTTTAAGACCTAGTACAAAGCTACTGTAATCAAGACAGTGTGGTACTTGTGTAAGAACAGACATACAGACTAATGGAATAGAATGGAGAATTCAGAAATAAACATATGGTCAACTGATTTTTAACAAGTGTGCCCAGACCATTCCATGGGAAAAGAATAGGCTTTTAATAAATGATGGTGGGACAACTGGACATACACATGCATGACTGAATTTGGATCCTTACCCCACACCATAGGCAAAAGTTAGCTCAAGATGGACCAAAGACCTAAATGTAAGAACTAAAACACTTGAAGAAGCCCTAACCAGTTTGGCTCAGTGGATAGAGTATCGGCCTGTGGACTGAAGGGTCCCAGGTTCGATTCTAGTCAAGGGCATGTACCTTGGTTGCAGGCACGTCCCCAGTGGAGGGTGTACAGGAGGCAGCTTGTCAAAGTTCCTCTCATTGATGTTTCTGGCTCTCTATCCCTCTCCCTTTATCTCTGTAAAAAATCAATGGAACATATATATTTTTTAAAAATAATAATAAAATAATAAAACACTTGAAGAAAATATAGGTATAAATCTTCATGACCTTGGTATCATATCACATGCAACAAAAGAAAAAAATAGATTATTTGTATTTCAAAAAAATTAGAAACTTTTGACTGGATGAAAGAAGGTGAAAGGATTAACCAAAGAACATATGTGCATAACCCATGGACACAGACGACAATGTGGTGATGGCTGAGGGACGTGGGGGGTGGGGGTGAGGGGATGGGGACATCTATAATAGTCAACAATAAATAAAGTTAAAATATTAACAACTTTTGTGCACCAAAGTACACTATTAAGAAAGCAAAAAAAATAAATTATTTAAAAATTGGAGAAAATATTTGCAAATCATATATCTGATAAGAGTCAAGTATCCAGAATATATAAAAAACTCTTACAACTCAATAATATAAAGACAACCTAATTTAATTTTTTTGTTAATCCTCACCCAAAGGTATTTTTTCTGTGTTTTTTTTTTGTTGTTGTTGTTTGTTTGTTTTTTAAAAGAGAAAGTGGAAGGGAGGGAGGATGAAAGAGAAAAGAGAGAAAGATCAATGTGAGAGAGATACATCGATTGGCTGCCTCTCCTATGTGTCCCTACAGGGATCAGGGGTTGAACCTGCAACCCAGGTACATGCCTTTGACTGGAATTGAACCCACGACCTTTTGGTAAGGAGGCCAATGATCTAACCATTGGGAAACACAGGCCAGGGTGACAACCTTATTTAAAAATGGACAAAGGATTAAACAGACATCTCCAAACAAGATATGCAAGTGGCCAATAAGCACTTAAAAAAAGGCTCAACATCATTAGTCATTAGGGAAATGCAAATTGAAACTGTAAGATACCTCTTCACACCCACTAGGATGGCTAGAATAAAAAAGACACATACAAGTGTTGGTGAGGATGTGCAGTAATGAAACCCTCACATATATACTGGGACTCATTGAGGTTGGGAATATAAACTAGTCAGCCACTTTGGAAGACACTTTACCAGTTCCTCAGATGTTAAACAGTTTTACTGATAACACAGCAATTCTGTTCCTAGGTGTGTACCCAAAAGAACTGAAAATATATCTTCATATAAAACCTGTACACAAATGTTCATAGCAGCATATTCATAATAGCAAAAAAGTGGAAACAACCCAAATGTCCATCAACTAATGAATGGATACACAAAATCCAGTAGATGCATACAATGGAATATCATTCAGCCATAAAAGGAACACTGGAGAATGGGTGAACACGCTATGACATGGATAAACATACTATGACATGGATGAACTTTGAAAACATTATGCTGAGTGAAAGAAGACAAACACAAAAGCCCACATATCATTTTATCCTACTTATATGAAATATACAGAATAGGCAAATCCGTAGAGACGGAAAGTAGATTAGTGTTTGCAAGGAGCCAGGTGAGAGGGAAATGAGGAGAGACTGCTAAGGAGGATGGGGTTTCTTTTGTGGACGATTAAAATATTCTGGGATTGGTGCTGGTGGTTGCACAGATTTGTAATATACTAAAAATACTGAATTGTACACTTTAAAGGTGATTTTTATGCTCATTGAGTTAAGTTGTAATAAAAAATTGCAAAAAAAAAAAATAGAACAAATGATTGGCCAGGAGCCAGGGCACATTATGCAATCAGCTTCCCAGAGAGGAAAGCTCTGAAGGCCTGAAGGGCAGACTGAGTCCTGGGAAGGAGCAGGTGCTACCACTGGAGGCACAAAACAATCAGACAATGGTTTTGATTCAGACACAATCTAATTCATCAGTAAATAACTTTAGAAATAATGTATAAAATTTCAGGAAAGAACAACCAAGCATCTTCCATTGCTGGAAGCTTCTTTATATGTATTAATTATGCACTCTTTATTTGTAATAGCGGTGAATGGTACATAATTAATACAAATCAATGATGCCTTTTAACATTCTGATCTCTGGTTTGCTCAATAAGTTTAGAGAAAGCTGCAGAATACATTTGAGAAGGGTACAAATGGTTCTGTAGATATTGGGACTTCAGTCCCATCCGAGCAGAGCATGGGTTTATGGGAGAGGCTTGTGGTAAGGACTGGATGCTGATTCCTCAGTCGCGTTTTCCTTC